TTGTCCATTCTTCGCTGGTACTTGCGACGTCGCACGAAGCGTGAGTTATTAGCCCGGTTGCTTACCTTGCACTACTGGCCCTACGTAAAGAAGTCCCCAAAGCGCATCTCGATACTCGACGGCCAGGCCTGGGTGAAGGAAGTCGTCACCTGGAACGAAGCTGTCGTGGTGGAAACGCTGCGAATGACGTCAAGAACGTTCACTCTCTTGGTTCAAGCAGCAGTCGAAGTTGGAGGTCTTGTTCCGGGACGAGATGTATCGGCTAGCGAACAAGTTGCCATGTTCCTCTTCTTTTTGCTGGACAACGCGCAACAAGCCGAGCAACGCAGTCGCGGTTTCAACGATCTGGTGAAACCATTTCTCGTCATCTGCACGCTGTACTTGCGGCATTCATCAAGATGGGTCCTACGTACATTCAACTGCCGGCCCTTGGAGCGCTTGTCCACGAACGAATTGCAAGAAACCCGAAGTTTTTTCCCTACTTTGGGCAATGCAGAATGGCGATCGATGGGACACATGTCCAGTTTGTGTGATGTTTAACGCTTCCAAAGTCGCAAGGGAATCACGATGAACGTGCTTGCCGCGTGTGATTTCGATCTCAATTTCACCTTCGTGTTGAGCGGTTGGGAAGGAACCGCCGGCGATGGCAAGTTGTACGAAGATGCTCTGCGCAAAGGCCTTCGCATTGACGACAATCGATTCGACATTTTGGTCGCTGGATTTGCTCTCACGAAGACAGCGTTGACGCCATACCGTGGAAAAAGCATCATTTGAAGGAGTTTGCCCCAAGTCGACAAGGTCCTCAAACCAAAGTGGAGCTCTTCAATCTACGGCATGCGCAGCTTCGGAACGTCGTGGAGCGCATCTTTGGGATATTAAAGAAGCGTTTTCCCGTCCTCAATGGCGCTGTGGAATACAGCTACTAGTTTCAAGTCGACCTACTGCTTGCACTATGCATGCTTCACAACTTCATACGTCGACACGGTAAAGACAACTTGGAGCATGAGGTTGTGGAGCAAATTCGACGCGAAAACCGTGAGCCATTGAGTCCAAACGATAGGCCAGTCCAAAGCTAAGCATTGGAAAGCGATGAAGCGAAAATGTGGCGAGACCAAATCGCGCAACAAATGTGGGAACAGTACCAAACTACTTTGTAACGTCGTCGCCGCAGGGCGTAGACACTGCTGATCATTGAATATTCATTGAATGCAGTCGAATTATTCTTGCTTTTTCAAAGAATTTTGACGCATCAAATACGCCATTCGTATCTCATGACTCATGCGCAAGAAGAGCAGTGCCTTCTTGTTGTCTTCCATGACTTCACACGCGATAGCTATGTCTTCAATCGAAAATAGCGTTTTGAACTCAGCATTGACAACGTCAACAGCCAACTCCGACGCAGAGGCGGTTGGAACGACTTGCTCGGAACTTTATGGTTGCATCGACTCTATCAGCGCTGTCACGAAAGCCTTCAACTCTTGCTGACTTGATTCACGAAGAGTCTGGAGCTCCGACGCCATCGTGGATGCCATCGATGGTCGAGATCGCTTCACAACGCCAGAACCAACAGGAGTACGTGAACGCTTGCTCAACAGGAGTACGTGAACGCTTGCTGGAGTTGCTTCTTCGTCGCTCGACTCGGAATCGTTCAAAGTCACGTTCTCTTGAAGCAATGAGGTGGCAACTGTTTCTTCTCCATATTGATCCCCAAAGTCTTCAGCCACGATGCTGCTGTCATCGGCGAAAGTGCTCACTGGATACGACGAGGACAAAGCAAATTCACCTGTGTCCAAGGTACCATCGTACAGTTGCTGACAGTGAACATACTGAGGAAAACGTCTTGTCTCCCATACTGCCCACCGTTTCGGCTTCCGGTCAAAATATGTTGCCATGAGCCTTCCGTGCAAACGAATCGGCACGTGGTGACTTCAAATCCAATACCCGAGGTGTTCACCATTTGCGAGACTTGTGCAAATTGCTTCTTGAGCTCAGCATTTCGAGCCTTCAGTTGCACCTTCGTGTAGTTGACCCGTTGATCGAGGTTGGGTTGAGTTTGGCAATGGCTGCCTGCCATGCTTCTTTTTGAAGCCGCTATTGGCACGCTTGCCCAAGACGACAACTTGATACACCATTTCCGCCATCCATGTTGCGTCTTTCTCGTCAGTCCAGGATGCTCGCTCGTCCGTCATGATGTGCTTGGATCTTCGCGCGTTTTTGGGATTGCAGTATTCGAACCGAAGCTTCGTTTCGTCCTATCACATCATGCAGCCAAACATGATACTGTATGCATTTTATATTATCACGCTATTTCAATATACTGAATCTGCATTTCAAAAAATAGAGAATGAGATATTTCAATTTCGTGATAATATTTTGGATGGTTTCCAGACGGGCCCTTAAGTATAATAAGTCTTTAAACCAGTTGCTGAGTCTTTCAGATTGGACTTCGTTCAAAACTATTTGAGAGAGAAACTGCGGAAGACACATCGAAACATATGAGACACTGTGAGAAGAATAAGTTACGACTGTTCTCATAAAATGCACTAACACCCTTCGCGATTTCATGTGTCAGTTATGTTTACCTGACTCAAATCTGTGTGGATTCCGAAGTGATCGCGTAACTGATCAAATGTGTCACGGCTGACAAATGACCAAGTATTCAACAACTCCAAATGCAAGCTGTATTACTTTAGCTAAAACGAAGACGCTCTGCATTATTGTGGTCCAATGTAAGTCGTTCTTGGCGATTCAATCGATATCGCCGTTGAGACTCCGCACGTTTGCGTTTCTTCTCAGTCGCCATTCTTTCGTAGCGCGCCATGACATACGCGTAGAACGTCTCGTCGTCGCTGCGGAGGGGCATAAGAGACAAATGGAAGTTCGTCAATGAAAAAGTCGTTCGTTGGATGACATCGTAGTTCTTCTCCGACCATGAGAACGTAGCGTACGATATCTTCCACAACGCACACACACGTCCAAAGAAATTCTCGACCACCACGCGATCCGACAAGATCCGCTCATTCCGCTCCAAGTCGTCAGCATCCAACATGCCATTCGCTGGACGCAGCTTTGGGTGGATTCCACGCAGGACGTGCCCGATGCCAATGTATGCCATGCCCACCAAGCAGGCCCAACTCTCAGGATACTGAGTGGACAATTCCCCGTGGTCAGGACGCAACAACTCGTCCGGAGTCTTCTCGAGCATGGCCTTGTGGATTACTTGTCGCGAGTGAAGAATCGTAAAGTTGTGGACCGACCCAGGATGCGAGCAGGACATGGCGACACAACGACCATCAGGTGAGACTGCAGCTTCGATCTTGCATCCATAGAGCCCATGCTTGCCACTGAAATAGCGCTTCTGCTCGGCAAAACGGTCCATTGGACGAAGTGAGGGTTGGAACTTCACAT